TTAAGGAAAACTTTCAGCGCTCTAATTGAGGAACGTTGAGGATTCTTCCTCAATCACTACAATCTTGGCCTGTTCAAGTCTAGAGTATATCTTCCCCACGTGTCTCCATTTTACTCTTAAATCCTCTACCTCAAGTGGCTCTTTGGCCTTATACAGGGTGATCATCATTGTAAAAATAAAAAAAAGTAATGAATAAATTAAATCCCATACTGGACTTTTCGAATATTCCTAACTGAAGTAATTTTCACAAAACTAGTCTTGCTACAGAGAAATAGCCGATCAGGCAGGGCCAAAAATTGTGCCTTATTATAGATCTCCTGAAATTATTTTCTCCCTTGCAATCCCTTTCTCACGGATAAAATGCTGTGTGCCTTTCACTACCCTATCCTTATTTCCATGGAAAGGGTGCAGATTGACTACATTCCTTAGTTCCTCTAGTTTAACCATCACGGCTAAGAACCGCCATGTTACGCTCATTGTAGCGAACCTCCTTCATTCCCTTCGTATACCATTGGTGAGATAAAAGTTCCATTCGAAGAGCTTCATCCCATGAACCTCTGTTCTGTGAAAGAGGATGTTTTCTCGATCACTGTTGCATAGAGTATTGCTGCCATATATGGTCTGGCGCCCCTTCTGTTTGCCTCGGGGTTCTTGATAGGCTCCAGAAGCGGATATGCAATATGGTTGGCCCTGCCCTGGCGTCTCGTCTACAGTCACTTTCTCACAGACGCACCGTCGCCTCCCTCTGTCTGTTCTACAAATACTTTCATGGAAATTGCTCCGAGGAGCTGCATTCTGCTGGTTCCCAGACTTCATGAGTTCAAGCGCCCTACGAGGCTGGCATCCCGCTCTCACCCCTTCACTGTCGAAACTCCCTAAATGTAGCCGTCTCTTCTACTCTAATAGCTTCATGTCTCGCACCTCTCGCCTGTGGAACTCTCTTCCTTTCTCCTGTTTCCCTGTGAGTTATAATCTCCAGTTATTCAAGTGTAATGTCAATCGACATCTCCAGTTGCCTTAATCTATCTACTACCCTCATCCTTTCTTCTATCACTCCTATCTGATCTTCCTATTTTCTGTAACCCCTTGCGTCCTAGTGGCTTCCCGCCTTGCTTGGGGTGAAATGCTTAAAAAAAAAGTCTAGAGTTAGCCAATCTCTTTCCCACATATCCGTAATCTATAACCCTCTACCTCGGATGGCTCTCGTGCCTTGTACAGGGGGAACCTCACTGTAAAAAATGTATTAATAAACACATTAAAATAAATTGATATACATTTTTTTATTGAATTGAATATCATTATTGATGGAAACAGTGTGTTTGAGCCGCAGTAGAAAAAGTACTCATATTGGGCTGAAAATCGATGAGTTTTACTCGAATGTCACTACGTTTTATTTATCGATCTCTTTTAACTCTCCGGGTATTTCTCGACCCCCTGAATAGTCCCATCGACTCCCACAAAGATCAATGCCGACTACTTTGAGGGCCTCTAGTGGAGAGGATTGATCATATCTGTTGTGTATGAATTAAAGGCATATATATGTAGATTATGTAGCTAATCAATACGTTTATGAAAAGACCTTGATAAGAATTTTATATCACCTTACATAGAAAGCATCAATTAGTTCGAAAATAGACGTTAAATGCGCTTCGGTGAGTCAACTGATTAGGAATAAAGAACAACTCGTGGGAATTCCAGGTGCCTCGCTTCTGGAGAAGCACATTGTTTGGGGTTTAGTCATGGAAAGACGCAGAACTAAGGGGCGATAATAATTATGCTTTTTTGAAAGCCGAGAGGGAGCAGTTTCATTTTGTGCGGGAAATGCCCGAAGCAAGAGAAAGAGAGAGAGACAGAGAGAAACAGAGAGAAGTGACGATAATGGGACATTGAAACAAAGGCAAGAGGTGCAGAGGTAAAAAAAAAAAGAATAGAAAAAACTTTATATTTGAGAAAGAAAGAATGAATGAATGAATGAATGATGAGGGAAGTCGGGGTAATGAAATAATGAAACAAAGAAAGAAAAAACTGTATATTTGAGAAAGAAAGAAAGAAAGAAAGAAAGAAAGAAAGAAAGAATGAATGAATGAATGAATGAATGAGGGAAGTGGGGGTAATGAAACGCTGAAACAAAGGGTAAAGAACGACAGGAAGAAAGAAATAAAGAAACAGAGAGAGAGAGAGAGAGAGAGAGAAAGGGTGATAATGAAATACTGAAATAAGGGGTAGAGAAGCAGAGGTAAAAAACACAAAGAAAGAAAAAACTGTATATTTGAAAAAGAAAGAAAAAAGAAAGAAAGAAAGAAAGAAAGAAAGGCAGGGAAACTATATGACAAAGAAAGAAAGAAAGAAAGAAACGGAAACTGTATAATTGAAAAAGAACGCGAAAATTATAAACATGAAGAAAGAAAAACTGTACGCTTGAGAAAGAAAGAAATATAGAAAATAAAGCTACATAATTTAGAAAGAAATAAAGAGAGAAAAGTAAACTATGATTTAGAAAGAAAGAAAGAAAGAAAGAAGCAGTAGAATAGAAAAGTCTAGGAAATAAAGAATAGATGTAGAGAGAAGTCAGAAGTACAATGACAGGCGATAGAGTTAGAGAGAACTGGAAGAAAAAGTATTAAAAAGAGGAAGATGACGAAATAATATGAATGAAACAGACAATAAGAAGAAGAAGAAGAGGAGGAGGAGAAAGAAATTTAGGAAGTGTAGATGCAGAAAGAAACGAGTGGAGAGAAAAATGAAGACGAAAGACAAAAGGTACAAGAAAGTAAAAGAAGAGAATGAAAGGAAAAAGAAGTGTTGCGAAAACTGTACGAAGAAAACAGAACAAGAGAAAGAAGAGACGAAGAAGAATACTGAGAAGGAGAACAAGAGCAATAACACTATGAAATGAAAGAGAAAAGAACGATAATAATGTCGACGACAAGAATGAAGAACGAAAGAGAAAGGAACAATAAAAACAACAGAAGAGGCGGAGGGAGAAGGGGATTAGAACAAGAAGAACAATGAATAATAATAATAATAATAAGAAGAAGAAGAAGAAGAAGAAGAAGAAGAAAAAGAAGAAGGATAGCAACAAAAACAACGGTAATAATAAGAACAACAATAACAATAAGAGCAATAACAACGACAGTGACAAACGAAAGAGACAAGAGTAATAACAACATTAGAAGAAGCGGACGAGAAGAAGAAGGACAACAATGGAGGAGGAGGAGGGAGAAGAGGAAGCAGCAAGAAGAAGAAGAAGAAGAGGAACAACAACAACAACAATAAGAGCAATAGCAACAACAACAATGACAAAAAAAAGCGACAAGAGTAATAACAACATTAGAAGAAGCAGACGAGAAGATTATGAACAATAATGAAGGAGGAGGAGGCGAGAAGAAGAAGAAGAAAGAGGAAGAAGAAAAAGAAGAAGAAGTCCAACAACAACAACGACAAGAACCATAACAACATTAGAAGAATGAAAAAATAAGGTGGGGGGTGAGGAGGAGTAGAGGAGGAGGAGGAGGAGAAGGCCAATAAACAACAACATAGAGAAAAATAAAGGAACCGTGAAACGCGTGTGAATAAGACGCCCTTTACCCTTCAGAAACTGCACCTAATGACCTTAAATGCAAATTCGAACACGGTCAGCGAGTTTTGTCAATGATGAATGATTCCTTATGGGTTTTTCATCGTATTTTCTTCTTGGACTTGACTGTTTATTTTCGTGCGTACGTACGTACATGCCGTATAAAGAGTTGGATAGATGTTCGCTACCCAACCGTTAAAATAGGTTGCCGGAAATAGTTCAGATCACGTGAATGAATGATCCTGGCATTTCGATTATTTATTTATTTTTTTTCAAATACGCGCTACTAACTTTAGCTCGAAATATATGAGAAGTCTTACTTGAAATAAGTGAACGGCCGTTTGTAAGACGGTTTTCATAATGTTACGGGTTCAATAGGGACGTTCCATAAGGAAAGTGTTTTGTAATATCAATGCTCCCATATGACAATAATAGCCGGACGTTTTCCTCACAGCTGAAGAAGAGGCAAGGGATAAGTGATTCAACACAAAGATGCCGAGCATGCCATAGACAGAGTATGTAAGCAATAAGAAAGTTTTAAGGAAAATCTAAACGGAATGGAGGGTTAAACTTAGAATAAAAAAAAGCGGCATTTGAAATTTTGGGACAACCTAATGAGGAAATAAAGCTTGGAGAATTTGACACTCACAGGACGTATCGATGACAAGAAGGACAGAAGTAACCTACACCCTTGTGCAAGTTAATTTAAACAAAACGAATGATTCCGTTATTATTTAATTTTTTCGTATTTCTCATGTTTGTGCTTCGTATGTCCATTCCATGAAGTCATTCCTTGCAGATTGTCCATAGATTCTAGATTGGATTGAGTTTCCGGGCCAGTCCATTGTACATTGATTTGCTCATTAGTAAGGCTTGCCAATGTGTTTGTGCAGCGTTACAATTTTCGTACGCTTCCTTGGAGTAACATCCATCGCCTGTAATGGCCGTAGGACAACTAATCGATAGTCGAGACTATAGTGTCTGGGCATGATGAAAATCGGATGCAATCAAAGATGACGCAATATTTTTCAAGGTCAAACAAATGTCATCATACACCCCGAAAATAGATCGATGTTACTTCACAACACTGCAAATGACCCAATCTGGGGAAAAGTAGAAATCGATTATACCCTGTAACTTCAGTGGATCTAAAACTGACCGTTTGTTGAAAGAAAGGTAAGTAAGGCGGTTAATTTGCATAATGGTGTATATAACGCGCTTATGTAAGCATTGCAGAACCGGGAGGGAGAGGGATAGTAAAAATATGAAAATTGCTAATAGGAAATTGTGGAGGGCTATGATCACCCACTTCATGAAAGAAAACGGCACACCGAAGAAGAAACGACCCACCACCCTTTTCCCTTTACTGCCTCTTACGTTGAACATTGTCTTATGTAATCTATTTTCACCACTTGTTATGGGCTTACGGCCATATCTCGTTGAAACAACGGTTTCCACGCGATCACCTAAGTTAAGCAACGTCGAGCCTGGCCAGTACCTAGTTGTGTGACCTCTTGGGAATACCAGCTGCTGTAAGGTTGTGGGTGTGTGTGGTGTAATGGATAATTGCTCGGAATTGTTAATCGGAGAGCCGAGTTCCAATTCCAGTTAGATTCATAAGGTATGAATCCATCTCTTCTCCTCCAAGCTATGGATTAATTAGTATCACTAGATCATTTATTATCTCCAAAGCGTTCTTACAATCTAAAAGTAGTTCCTGGTTTTAAACCTATAAAGGGTTGAAAAGTCATAGAAAACGAATAAATGAAACAATTACTGTTTGTGATAATATTTAAGGTAGGGTTTATTTCCTGTTGCCAAAGGAGACTTGTCGCTATTGATAAATTAACCGCTTTGTCCTTTTCGCTAAGTGCGTGTGGAACTTTTGTAATATTGACGAAAACTCATTGCCACTTTTGTAATGTCAACGAATACATGTTGTCACTTTCGTAATGCTCGTTGTAATAGAGACTTTGTAATCGCAGATACAACTATAGTAACGCCGTTGAACAATACTGGTGTCAGACGCCTTCGAATATCACTCGTACTAATTGTACTTGCTCGAATAGTAATCCGTTTAGTGATCAGTATAGCGAAATAGTATAGTGAATAGAGTAGAGAATAGCGGTCCAAATAGTAATAGAGGATAGACTAGAAATGAAGATCCCTTAGACGTCACGTAACTTCCTATTTATGCGTTTTATGATAACGTGGTTTACTTAGTTCAATAATAGGATCGCCTGTGTTTGCTCACTGGCGATCTATGTTCAAACTCAAGTGTCGGCAGCGACACTTTATTCTTATATAACAGGAACAAAAACATCCAACCGGCAGAGATCTTTTATCTATCTTTTCTAAGTGTTGGCATATGTTATTGTGATGTCTCTAATATATTTGGCATTTCTCAAGTATTTTGCTGTGGATTGCTTTTCAATAATGACGTTAGAGTTTCATAGTCAATCTCTGGTAAACGACACGTTCTGGGTTCATCTCCCACTTTAAGTTCCTCGGGATCGAAATTTTGCAATTCCGTAATTGCCAGTCAGTTATGGTTTAAACACTGAATATTTTTTCTGCATATCTCCATAAAGTTATTTCACTTGCTTGAACATCCATTGCATTGTGTGGTATGTTAATGGTTATATTAGCTCTTTCCTTATAAGGTATTCAGTGACCTAGCAGTCGTTGCCGCTGTCAGTTGAAATATAAAAAATCTTTCTTTTTAAACAATTATTCAGGAATAAAAGCTGTTTCACGTCTTAGTAGCTGTTATCAATCTTTCCAGTTCAGATTGGGGTTTCCTTCCCAACCCTTTGTTCGGTGCAATGTGGAACGTCAACATCTTGATTATGTCATTATTTTCTCTTTGAGTTGGATCTGCTAGCCATTTTAGTGGTTGCTGCTGTTGGCAGTCCTCATGAGATACGATATGCATAAATGTATTTTCAATACCAATATTAGTAGGTTTGAGAAATGTATTATTTTCTCCGCTGTGCACATTATCACTGCTGTGCAATGACTAGGGCCTTTTTTGTAGCCTATTTGTAAACTTGCCCTACACATATGAATGGAAGCTAATATGATACATTTGTCATTACAATTAGTTCCCCAAATCGGAAATTACTTATGAACCAACCTAATATTTCCGAACACGCCTATATATATATATATATATATATATATATATATGACGTCACTCTTGTACGACTCAGAATCATGAACCCCATATAGGCCTCATATCAATCAGCTGGATGTCTTCAACAAAATTCCTCTCCGCGCGATCTGTGGCTATACTTTTGACTATACTTTTTTGGCTATACTATTCTTCTCGCAAAATGCAGCATTGGTGGACTTGAGACTTTCCTGTACAGTCACAGTTTCCCTGGACAGGTCATGTTGCAAGGAGGAATGACGACAAAATACATAATATCTTCATGTATAGACAGCTTGACACTGGACGAAGTACGGTTGTGGCTCAGGTATAACGACAAGCTAAGAGTAACCTCTCAGCTGTCAATATGCCTCATGCTAATTTCGATTGAGTTTCCCTGGATAGAAATAACTGGAAATATTTGTCCCAGGGTGGTATCAGACATTTTGATATTTGTCCTTTTGACATGTGACTGAGTTCAAAAGAGACGAAAGGAAACGGCGATAAACGCCAGTAAATATTCCTGTTATGTTCTGAGACCAACGCCGTTATATTAATTATAAATACAAATAACGTATAACAACACACACACACACACACACAAACGCACACACACAAACACACACACACTAACACACACACACACATGCATATATATTATTTCTTAAAAAATTATAACATAAATATGTGATTTTATAAAATATTTATGTTATAATTTTTAAATGAATAATTATCTCTGCTCTACTCTGTATTGAGCACTCTTTTAAGAATAGTAATTGTTGGTTATTGGAATTTATTCCGTATAAACCAATCCTATACTTGGGTATATATATATATATATATATATATATGAAGAAAATATACGGAAAAAACAAACAAAAATCCTAATATGCAATTATTCTGTTTTAATGTTAATATAATGTCAACGTCGGACGTTTCGGTCTAATAGACCATCTTCAGGACACATTCATTAAACATAATTAACATTAGACCATATTCAATTCAACATGAAAAAGACGATGGACATAAAAGCAATACCAATCCAAACAGATAACTGAAATCTTTTATAAGATCAGCGTTCCGTTTAAATATGATCACGTCGTCGTCATGTGGGCGATGTTGTGAAAACGTATTTTTAAAATTTGAGTATTTTGAATGAAAAACGAAAAGAAAATCAGAAAATTTTTATCAGTTGAACTCCGAACGCTTTATTTTTTTTTTAAACTAATGAACGCTAACACTATATTATTTTTATAAAATTTTTTTTTTTTTAAATAGTATAGCGTTCATTAGTTTTGAAAATAAATCTTTGGGAGGTCAATTGATAAAAATTGCCTAAGGATACCATAAGCTTGAAAGCTAGGTCGCGGTTTCAACTGATCTTATTTTTAAAGTTAAAAGCTCTACATGTTATTTTTATTTTATTTTTTACACGTGCATTGAGCACTATTTAATACTAATTTAAAAATATACCCTGGTTTAATCTTTTTATTAAGTCTGTTTCCTGGTCTGATTCAACTGTGGCCATTAATATATATATAGTCACCCACAGACAGCAGTGCGGCTAGACGTCCGGTTGGCTCTAGCTAGGATCGAAAACCGACGGAATTGGCAGCAGTCGGGGGATACTGCCACTAAGCCGCTGGTGCACAGCTGGGATGAAGGTGAATTTAAGCGTATTTATTTTTAAATAACCAGACAATGACAGAGAACTCGATTAAAAAGAAGAGAAACCACAAACGTATTTGGTTGTAATGCGGATGTTTTTAAAAAAATATTATGCTTTATTTTCCATAATTTATCTACACGGGTTTCCGGTCTCGCAACTGTCATCAGGCGTGGAGATTTCCACATTATATATATATATATATATATATATATATATATATATATATATATATATATATATATGTGTGTGTGTGTGTGTGTGTGTGTGTGTTATACTTTTGTCTTTATTCATATTGTCCTGTTACAGATATACTTTACTTATATCTGAAATTTTACATATTGTCAATATGGAAAACAAAAATAAAAACCTATACACACTCTTGATTAGAAAACACAAATAGCTATTATTATCCGCATATTCCGACAGAAATAATAAAAAAAAAAAAAAAACTTACATTGAAGAAAAAGTTATTTCTCAATGTTGGCATAAACTACTCAAAGCTTTCAATCACATATGTTCTCTTTATTTACACGAATTCCTAAAATCATTGTCGTATAAATTAGAAGAACCAGAATTCATACTTTTTGATAAAGATATCCAAATTGAAAATGATCTTCATCGATAAAAAAAAAAATTCTTAAATAAATACAAATGGAGTGATCTAAGATAATCGATCAATTACATAAATCAAAAAACAAATCCGTAGTTTACAAAATAAATTAAATACATTAGTTTCTAAAATAAATGGTATAAAATCGCTTGAAAAGACTTCATTACAAATTCATCCGAATTCAAACTATCGGATACAGAAGCTTTAACCTTTGGTCTGAAATTTACGACAGGATTGCCGAAAAATGATATTACGAATTTCATTATTAAAAACTAACAACTCGGATTTCAAAAAAAGGATACATTTTGGGTCTAATTAAAGCCATATAGATTGTTTTTGCATACCTACGGACGATAATGGGTATCTCCCCATTCACATAAATACAGTAGTAAATACTTTATGTTGATCTACAGTTGAAGATTCGTCTCCGGCTGAGCTGGTCAAACTCTCTGCTTCCGGGAAGAGAGGATCGCCAGACGAGGCTATGTCAAAGGGTAGAGTCTCGTCTCAGAAAACAGCTACCCGAACCCGCTTTATACGTGGTCTATTGAGAATTTTTAGGCGAGCCTACAGGCTCGGAATACTCTACATTAAATTCGGCCTTTAAAATTAGTGTTTGTACTTTTGCGTATGACCGGAAGTGTTAACAAAAGCAACAATTTATTTTTGACAAACACAATTATTTGTATTAGTAATCAAAACCCTGATGATGATAATGGAAAATATCGAAAGTACCCTGGAAAAATAAAAATGAATAAATATAACCACAGTACCTTTCTTTTTGTCTTTAATCATGAAACAAGCAAGTTTATACGGGATTACGGATTAAGGATTTTATTGAAAATAATTAAACACAACATATCTAAATTGCTTAATCAGGCATGTTTATATATATATATATATATATATATATGTGTGTGTGTGTGTGTGTGTGTGTGTGTGTGTTTAGGCAGCAAACCTTCTTTCACCCACATTTCAATCAATACGACAGACAAGGTGGTTTGATTTAGTTTTTTATACAATTTTTCATGTAATCTTATTTTTTTTCTTTTCAGAGGATAAATTATATAAAAACTGCCCAATTGTTCTTTTTATACTAGCGCTTT